TATACTTAGATCTAACTGTCTAATATGTAATACGATAAAAATTAAATAAAAATAAATTCACTATAAGAGTTTTTAAACAAATTGTGAGTATATACGACTACTACAGTCCGCGCTTACTATTGTGATTTATTAAATAGGTACTTATCAGTTATCAAATAATATAATATTAGGTATGTACCTAATGGCTAGTTATATATTATAAAGCTATGCACACAGGTACACTTATTAAGCTACGTACACTGTATCAAACATAAAACGTCAATCTGGACAACCACTCGACAATATTAAACATTTTAATAACAAAACTATGTATAGAACATTTACAAAGAGATGTTTATTTTTATAAACATCGTTTGATAAGTCACACGACTGTACTAATACATGTATAATTTTGACACAAATAATGCAGACTGTATATACTAACTCCGGTCAATGGTATTTTTAAGACTTTTTAATTGGGGGGGGGGGGGTACCTAGTTTATTGGTTAGTTAGTTGGTACCATGTCACAACTTTCTGTTATGAAACATGATAAATGTTTACATCGGTAGGTATATTTTTATACATAAGAAAATAATATACAAATCTCGACAAACCCTATATGCTTGCCAATCACATTTAAAACGAGCTAAGAAATATAAATGTCAAATAAATAAGTAGGGCAACAGGTGTATAAGAAAGAACCAGAAAAGCGTTTTTTTTCTATGCATCTTAAGTCTAGATAGAATAATAATGTCACCACATAAAATTATTTGTATGTACGTTGGCAAATTTATAAGTAGACTTAAGATGCATAGAATAAAAAGTGCTTTTCAGGTTCTTTCTTATACACCTGTATGTCCTACTTACTTCTTTGACATTTATATTTCTTAGCTCGTTTTAAATGTCAGAAGTTGATAAACATTAAATTATACATCAATGCAAGAAAAAATAATAAGAGGGGTTTACTTTATAATAATTGAAATAACTTGTACTAAATGTGAAACAGTGGTTAAAGAAATAAAAAATTCAAATTGGTAAATTAGTTATTTCTTCAACATTCAAACATTTAAAACGTTGCATATTCGAATCATTAAAATAAACATGAATATATTATTATTGTATACTGCATACATAAAAAATCCATATGAAATAAAAAAATAATAATTAACAGTTTAAAAAGTAATTTTTGTAACGGAATTTAGTTTACTTTTATATCCAGACATTAACAATCACAGATGGTTAAAACCGCATAAAAATAAATGAAAAAAAAACGGGGAATCCACTCTACTGCATTATAGTGTATATATTATTATATTATATATAGGGAAGTCTCGAGTGTACCTCGTTATTGAGTAGGTCATTGAAATCGATGCATTAAACTTGAATTTAATGATAATTCATTGAATATTATGAAATATTTTTGCAGTAAACATCGTATATATTATTATAATTTTATATTTATAAGTTATAAGTTAGTACTAACATGCAATAATGTAAAACTGTTTGAATAAGTCCGTGGTTTAATTAGTCTAAGTATTTTTTTTTTTTAATTTATGTCTACAGAAAAAAAATAGATATGTTTTGGCGATAAGTTTCAAGTCTATTAATTTTTAAATTACAACAAAATAATACAATTCATTGTTAATGTATATATATAGAACAATTATTATACGAGAAAAAAAGTAACAATAATAAAAATCTAGTATTTTTTAGCTCTTTGAATTCGCTCCATAAATCATTTTTATAAATTACAATATTTTCAGAAAAATATTTCGCTTTGACATATTATGAAATTAAATACGTATTTAAAAGTAAAAACTTATACAATTATAACGTTAAAATATAGTAAAAATTATTATCATTATTTTTCAAAAATATTTTTATAATGATTCCCGCAATTATTAAAAATAATGTTCCCAAACTTAAACATTTGGGAAAAATAAGTATTTACTTTTAAAATAATCACCTTTATTGTATATATGTAGGTCAGTGTTTGAAAGGAACGAATTCCTTTTTAAAGAACGAATTAATTTTTTTTTTTTAAAAGTACGAGAAAATGAACGAGTTATTTTTTTCAAAGAAAAATAACAAAATTTTTCGTTCCTTTCTAGTTCCAATAATTTACACAGATAATATATAAATAATTGAAATTAAGATATATTATTTTTAATGTGTTATGTGTATAATATATATTCTCAATTAGTGATCGTTATCAAGTATCGACGTTAATCGTTACTCATTAGTCATTTGTCACTTTATTAATATTTCTCATAACTCATAAGTTATAATTTATATAGAAATAGAAGTGAGTGTACCTATATAAAATATAATTTATTATGACAATAAACGATAAGGCAGTTGACATACGTCAGCCCAAAAATTTAATTTTGAAGAAAATCTCAAAATAGAATTGTAAAATATGTACCTACTTGTAGGTGTAATTTATAATTAACAATTACAGAAGTATGCATATGCATATGAAAAAAAAAAACATTAATGATTAATTAAGAACTTTTATTTTATTTTGAACTAAAAAAAGAACTCGTTCATTTTCCAAAGCAACGACAAAGGAACAGATTATTTTTTCTTAAGGAACAAGGAACGGAACCAATTCCTTATTTAAAAAAAGAACAAAGAACGGAACAAATTCCTTTTTATAAGGAACTTCCCAAACACTGTTATAGGTATGGTCAGAGCCAGCAATACAATGGGAAGTACAGTAGCAATATAAAGTTTTGTTTACAAACATTATACATTAAGACATTAGGTACATGTAATGTATGTTAGCTAGTAGCTACTAATGTGTGATATCAGTATGTGTATGCATATGTTCAATTATCCAGTCCATCTAGTTTATTCCACTTAATGTAGTACCTAAGTAGTAATAATAATACCGATGTCGAACAATATAGTATGCGATTTGTCAAATCTTGCATTATCGTTTGTACATTATATAAATTATTAACTATTTAAATGCTTTGTTAGCCTACGAAATCCAAAGTATAGGATGGAAAATATATTGAGCCATATCACAATTCACATGCAAATGTGGCCATATTATTTATACGGACCTTACCTTTTTTTAAGTGCCTACTCGTTGTCGGTGTCGTAAAATAATTTAAATTGGCTGTACCCGATCGTTTAATATAACCGTAAAAATATCCATTTTACTGCAGAATTGGGGTCATTTTTTATGTTCCGTACGGTATTTATATAATATAAACTATAATATTTGTATATACAATATATTACCTAAGTTTACTAGAGGACATTTTCACAGAGAAGTTACTGCGGCCCACCAGGGATGATTATAATATTGTAATAGGAATACCGCGAGAGTCAACGAGAGAACTTTTAGTTTTTAGTCCTGTTTTTACCGATCATCTTTTCCGTGTAAGAACATAGTAATAAATAACAATAATATTTAAACAACATTGGACATTATCCTGTTTGCATAATAATTTCCTAATATTTCGAAAGTTTATACAGTGTGTCTATTATATTATACGCATTTGTACATATGGACATATGGTATGAAATATGAATTCATATGATACGCGTGCGTCACAACTCAAAGATCATTAATTATAATAGTATGTATATTGTATCTGTATAGTAGGTACCCAACTACCCAAGAGAGGAAAAAAAGTGTTGATTATTGAACCGATTGTTACAAAATATAATATAAATTATGTTGTTCTGTGTTTACAAAGATGGCATTAAAACAAGGAAAAATTCTACATTATAGTCATTTAATAATGTCTGTTGTAGTGTACGTATAAGTAATAGTTGTATATTATATATTAAATAGCTAGGTCTCGCTGTACAGAAACTGCTCGTAGAATATTATATAATATGTAATTATACACTATTATACAATATAAATTTACTTATTTAACAAATAGGTACCTACTTTATTTTTGTAAAATTTTGAATAAAGTTCAATATAAGTATGGCCACTATCAAATTTAATCGTGTCCTTTATGTAAATTAGTATTGCATTGTGCATAGGTAATCTAAGCCCGTTGACGATGAGATCGAGTAAATCACTTAATTTCTCAAAAATGCCTCGGTATAGGTACCCCGCATATAAAAATATACCTATATCATAAATTAGTAATTTTTAACTAAAACATTACTAGACCTACCCTCATTGTACGGGCGTGACCTGATTAAAAAGAAAAAAATGTGTGTGAAAAATGATTTAACATTCAAAATATTATAAAGTTTATTTTGTATACTTTTATTGTGGTTGATTGATTTTTTAAAATTTCTTTTCTTTTTCTTTTGTTTGGTTCGTTTTCTATTGAGCTCACTCGAATCATTCATGTGTCACCCGTGGAATAATAGTCCGCATTTCGTTATGTACTTGTGTGTAGCTCCAAAAATGTATAAATAAGACGTTGTATTGGTACATTATTTTTATAGAAAAAACCGTTCAAATTTATTCAACATTTTAAAAGTTTAAATTTGCATTCTTTATGTCAGAATAACTTATTATATTCGTAATGATTTACCGATTTGCGAATACGCAGATGTATAGTTTCTCATTTTATAACCACAGATAATATAAGACATTAGTAGGTACCTACTATAATCTAAATAATATATTTTATATGTAAATCATGACAACTTTTTTTTTTTCGATTAAGAATAGAAATATTTTTTTTCTCGCACGTTTTTTAAACCTTCAAACCTATTATTTATAATATGATAAACCAAATTTCTAAAATATTTGTGTTTAAATCAAAACGTTAACTAATAATTTATTATGAACACAGATATGAAAGTTACATAATATTATAATGCATAAACAGTAAACACGTAGGTAGCTGATTAAATATATTATGTTGTTTAGAAAAAATCCACACACTATGTTGTTTCTATATTTTTAACTTATTCCATCTGAAACATGATATCTGTTGTTGTTATTTGATTTTGAGTGCTCATACTTTATCTCTGTGACTCTGTTTAACCACTAAAAAATAATTTCAATATTATCATTCGCTTTTTATTTCAGATCTAAAGAGTCAATGTCGTCGACACCAGAACTTCAAAATGGGCTTCCTGAATCGGATATGAATTTCCAACCCATCCAGGACGAATTGTACAAGTAATTAGTCATGTTTTGATAGAACTCAAGTGTAATATATTAATACGCAAATAATACAATATATAGGTAATATAATGTATATTATATGTATAATATACATCTAGTACGTGATATTTGGATTTCTATCACACGCTGTGCTAAATCTCATGTTATATTATAGAAATGACCCAACAAAACAATAAAAATAATAATCCGTATACTCGTATGAATGATTTGATAAAAAATAATGTAAATATTTAATTTTAATTGCATTTGATTGCCTTCTACACAGAAAATGATTAAAGTGCAATGTCATCTACTGAATTAAATGGAACGAATTCAATTTTTCTTAGACGCGCATATTTATTATTATCTCACTAATATAATAATATTTTGTTGGTCAGAGTATGATACAAATGAAAATTAGTTATTTATGTTGCATGGAAGGCCCATTTAACACGGAAGACCCGGACGGGTTAATAACAGCGAGTAATGCAATAATAATAATAAGAATAAAAATGTATACTATTAGAAAACATACACGATTTCACAACCGTGTGGTTTAAATTTAAAATTAATTGTATATAATATTATGCAGGGATAGCCCTAGCAAAGAAATGAAGGGCGCGTTGAAAGTACTCAACGATTCTCTGAAGAAAACGTCGGCCACGCTATTGCCCAGGACCCAATTGAAACAAGCCATCGACATTGTCCGAGAAGAATGGTTCAAGGTTTGACGGAGCCATCTGATTGTATAAATTTTCATAATTTAAAAAAAAAATGTCTTACAGGTGACGAGCTCGAGCAATTGCGGTGGCCACCTCGTAAAGAATTATGTCAACTGGTTCACTTCATACTCGCCGGTTTTGCTGGAATTCATAATCAACATGACAGATGCTGCGGTAAACATATTATATTATCGTGATATTATTATCTGAACTTATATTATAGGTACTGCTCGCATTAGAGAAATCGTACATATTGATCGGAATTTAGTAGATAATGTGCATCTAACTGCCGGCGATCGAGAATAAGCCAGTGATACGAGTATAGATTATAAACGGTGATGTGAATTTAATGATTTTATTTTTACATCTTTCGATCAATTTGGTTCAGAAATAACATTATCAGTGATACCTATCTATAAAAGAATCGAATCCAATTAAGTCGTGACTCTCGCGTGACTGTTCTGAATAAAAAAAAATGTATTTTGCATATCTGAAACATAAGTATATAGGTATACAATATATAATTGGTTTTTATTGGATATAATTTTGGCTACTGTTTTTATGTGTCTTGAAATTCATTACGTATAAATATGTGTACGAGGATTTTAGCGAGAATTTTAGGTACCATATGGCATATTAACATATTATTATGATTTTATTTTCTCTCATAACATTATTTTGTATCAGACATTTTTAAACGATTAAAATTATTTTTGTTCAAAATATATATAATTACTGATAATTTTTCTGCAGATGTAGGTTATAAACTATAAATAATAATAAAAATAATTATAAATATTAAATTCACTCTAGAGCCGTATCAAATATTATACGCATGAAGAAATTAATTTTTACTTTTATAATATGTTAAGTTCGAACTCAGATGGGTAACTAAACAAAAAATAAATGTATATCAATAATGAATAAATAACCAACACGTATTATACCATCCAATAAGCGTTTGTCAAATATCTCAATAAACTTGAGTACTTACTAGTTACTACTTACCTCATAAAAATACTATTATATAATAAAAAAAATAATTGTTTATTTATTTATTAAAATATTTCATAACTATATTTATTTATAACCTAAGTGTTTAAATTAAAACTTGTATTTTTAAATTTTTACTACAATTTGTTTTCTATATAAAACATGCATGCAATATAATATTTTAAGTAATATTATTGTTTATGTGTGCTGTGTAGGTTTTTACAAAATAGCGTTATATTATGTCATAATACCTATAGTACAACTCGTATTCTCTCAAAATACTTTAATAATTTTATTTTAAACTTTGTGCCTATACTGTAAACATGCATATATCTAACTGTGTAAATTATATTTTCATAATGCGAGTTTAGTATACAATTTGTATAAATAAGATTTTAGAATTCAGATACTTCTAAAGATTTCACCCGAGGGCCCGAAACATTCAGAAATTACGTTATAACGAATTTTACAAGTGTTTATCACAACGGATAAGATTCATTTTTGAATTTTTCGCTTGTTGTTACGGTTCTTTGAAATAAGCCGTAATGTCCGACAGCAATATGCAAATGAAACCGATGTAGAGATAATTATTTCCAGTTCAATAAAGTTTGTGAAATGTTAACATGCGTCTAATAAATATAGATATTATTTCTACGTTGTATTCGAACAATAAAAACACAAACATCGGTGTATAACTGTTATCGCTGTCGATCACGAGTCACGACGCGGTGACGTGAACTGCTTTACCAATTAGTTTTTATTTGCGTTTGAGAAAATGTATGTGAAAAAAATTGTAGTTTGCATATTTTAGCATAATATTTTTGATTATTATTATTTTTTATATAATATATATATATAATATTATCCGAACCACTAAGCGTTTCGTTTATTTTCAGCGCTCTGAATTTATACAGACACATAATAATAATATAATAAATTATTACTAAGCTATAAACAATATTTATGTTATATTGTTATGTCTAAACACTATCTGTGAAGTTTATTGGATTGTTTTTGTCTTATCAGGGCAACACCGTACTGCATTATTCGATTTCCCACGGAAATTTCGACGTCGTGTCCAACATACTGGATACGGGCGTCTGCAATGTCAACTTGACAAATGACGCGGGCTATTCAAGCGTCATGCTTGTCTCGTTGGCCGACATAAAAAATGAAGACGAGATGAAGATCATCACAAGACTGTTCAAATGTGGCGATGTCAACTTACAGGCTAAAAAAGTTAGTATTTCAAAACGCGCATAGGTACAAGATAATCGCGTACAAAAGTCAGTGGAAAATCTAATATTATAGTTACCATTGAGTAATGGCTAAATCGCATACGTATATATTAAATTAATCTGGCAACAAAACAAGTGTTAAACTATCATAGGATAGAAAATATTTTCCCAATAGCCAACTCACCTGATTGGATTATTTAGATTACATTAGAAACAATCACTTTTTCCTTGACCCGTTTGAAGTCTTAATAAAGAATGACATTACTTTGTAATATAATATTATATTATATGATTAGTTCGGTTGGGTTAAGAATGTATAGTGAATAGTGATGTGAACAGACTTACAGCATCATGGAGATAATTACTGGAGCGAATTTTCTCAATTTCTTAAATTGTTTTTTGTTTATGTAATAAAAAAGGTATATTTTAACTATTCAGTATAATTTTATTATTCCAAATTATAAAATATTTATTTTTCTAGAACAAATTTAAACATTTTATGTTTATGCTAAACCAATGAAATTTGTATAAATATATTATTATGGAATATTCTGTGTTCGGAGAATGTTTTGAGAAAAGATTACTCCCGTTATTTAACATAATCAAGTGAGAATAATACAATATAAAAATAAATAATGGTTAATTAAATCAAATGTACAGATAATCTGTAAAGAATACTTCAGATAGGTAGTAGAATAGACACTCGTCTCACTAGGATCTATTCTTAATTCTAATTCAAAATACAAATGAAAAAAAAAACGATGAACAATCAATTTAAAGTACCATCCACTATATGAAATAGATTTCTGATCTATAAAGTTACAGAATCTTATAACATTGGTAGCTTGTTTAGTATCCGAAGATTCATTTAGTTTCTGAAATAATAGGTTACAATATAGGACCTAACCTCTTCAAAAAGTACCGGTAATGGGTGTGTATTATGATAATAATAGTAATTTGAATTTTTAAAAACGATTCGGAGCGAAAGAAACTTTTGGATCAGATTGTCCCGCATTTATTTCTAATAATAGTTATTAGTCGACAGTTATTAAATTTATTATTACTATTATTACTATTTTCATAATTTGAGATATTGAACTACCTACAAGCTTTTTACAAAAAACTTATAAGTTACAAGACGTCATTGTCAACGTACCGTAGAACGGTGTGAATAGTACTATTTTAAAAATAGTTTGAAATTAGTTTAAATATTTTGAATATTTTATTGTGCATAATAAATAATAATGTACGTAATGACGACACGTGTCATGTTGTTACGAATAATATTTTTTGAACCATACCAAAATAACTAAAATCCTTAGAGGAAAAATGTTATTTTGAAAATCAAAGTTTGAACTTAAAACACATAAAAAACATATTAAAATTTATGAGAAACCTTGTATTCAATCGTCAGGTGTTTTGGTAACCTAGCAAAAATATCAACATAAACAAAAAATAATAATAGGGGATGATGTATGGTAAAACGTTTTGAGTGCATATTTTTATGATTTAGTATAAATCACTGTAGGTAATGAATGTGTTTATTTTGATTCGTTTATAATTTGTTCTTACAACAGTTGAAAATATCAAAAATAATACTTTGTTCGTTTTAAAAATAAAAATAAAATAATTAATCATACTACAGTATTTAATTTTAATACCCAAAGTTGGAAAATGTAATGCAAGATTTCCAATACATTTTTGGTATATAGCAATTCAAAATAGCAAAACTATATTTTTTCGGTAGTTACGCATTTTTTTTTTTTTGTTATCGTGTTCAAATTTTGACAAAATTGGTTATTATCAAATGTAAATTAAAGATTTTAGTTAATTTGTTGTAATTCAATAAATATTGATATAGAGACTCAAAACTTCTCTAATTTGTATACACGACCAAATTTTCAAATATTTAGACTAATTTTAACCTATTTAAATTTGTTTATCTTTTAGATTATTTATACCATAAACCAAAATTATAATATGTCAGAGAACGATCCATAAATTGTTTGTAATAAAAACGGTTTTGCATGAGCAAAAATGACTTGGACTTATCAATATCCTAGTTAAGAAACCAATTTTTTACCATAATAATATAATTATAATGTATAAATATAGTAGAACTTTGAATTTGAAATTTAATTTAATTTTTTTGATATCACTAATACGAAAAAAGTTACACGAGTTTGAAAAAAAAATATATATATATAATAATAACTAGCTAAGTAAAATAATTTTTTTCGTATAAAAAAATTTTAACTCAGCCGCAAACTGTATATAGATCGTACGGAAGTACGGAACACTTTTTAAGAATTAAATCTATATTATAGTGAACTGTAATTGAAAACTTGAACTATGAGTTTTTCAAAACACAATTAAAAGTCAACTATTTTCCTACGGCTTTTAGTAATTTATAATTATAACTATATAGTTATGCAAACAAAAATATATTTAATTTTTTCACGACGTATTGACTTATATGTGAGTTAGGGATAGCGGATTACTAATGTTCATATTTTACTCATCAACGTTGACACGGCCTAAATGTACATGTCATATGAGTTGCCTAAATATTACTCCTTAAAACATGCCATACTCCAGTCCCATTTAATTTTCTTCATTTTAATATAAGAGTGATTTATTGTCAAATTCAAAGGTTTTTATACATTTTCCGTGTTATGTAAGATATATTTTGTTCGATATTTTAATTTAAAAACTAATTATAAGAGTGTAAATTATGACAAATTAAAAAGTCTCAAAATTACTTTTGAGTTTGAATATAGGACAATTTAGTATTTAATGCTATAAAATTAACTCGTAACTATATACGTGATTTTATATTATATAAAAAGGAGACAACTTGACTTGGGGTATATCGTTCTTTAACCTCTAAGACTTATTACAACGAGGTTATTTAGGTAATCCATATTTTGTAAAATAAGTAATAACTATTTATTATTTATAAAAATATACGTAGATATATTGTTTAAGTAGGTGCAATATGTTATGTTTTATTTAAATGTCTCTTTTAAATGCCATTATCGTACAATATCGTTATTTTTGTTCGTTAACTCAAAATTTTTTTTTTGTTTACAGCATGGCCAGACGACATTAATGTTGGCAGTTTCACATGGTAAATCAGAAGTGGTGAAATTACTTCTGGAATGCGGAGCCAACCTCAACATGCAGGATGAAGACGGAAGTACTGCTTTAATGTGCGCGGCCGAACACGGTCTTCAGGACATCGTTAATATACTGTTGGCTTGTCCGGAATGTGATGTGTCCATCGCAGATAACGTAAATATTGATCATGAAATATATTATTTTTATTTTATTTTACAAATACTTCTGGTCAAGTGGCACTGCTGGGAGCCTACCTATTCTTATTAATGTTATTTTATGTCACCACACTTACTTATTGTACCTTGTCTGTTGTATAGATTGTAAAATCTATACTTTTTTTAAAAAATAAAATTTTACAAAGAATATTGTAGAACTAAAGTTCCGAAACGAGCAGAAAGAAGATCAGATAATATCAGTTCTTTTATACATATATGTATTTTTTTTATTTACTAATTCGTCTATTTTTTACAGGACGGAAGTACGGCACTCAGTATTGCCATGGAAGCGGGACACAAAGAAATCGGGATAGCACTGTATGCCAAACAGCATATACTGTCCCGAGAAAATTCACCGTTCAATTTGTCGAAATCGAAGAGGTCGAGGAGCGCTAACACCGTGATGCCGTCGAATAACATGACTTACTCGCATTTGTCGTTAAAAAAATCACCGAGTCTGCAGCCTAGAGAATACGCCACGCTGTCTTCCATGCTGAAAACGCGGATTCCTTAACATAATATAAACCAGTAAAATAATAATATGTTTTTTTTATCATCGACAATGTACGTACGCTTCAAGTTGTTTTTATTTTTGTAATAATATTATTGTACTGCGCTGACGTGTTTTGCTGTTCTGGCGGTTTAATATTAATTATGTTTTTTATTTTATAAAATAACCTCGTAAAAAAATGCCGAAATATATAAATGTGGTTAATAACGGTCACTGATTAGCATCTAAACTATTATTTTTTTATTGTTACATATAATAATAATATGTGTAGGTGAAATATTATGTAAATGTTATTTTACGTTTACACGTAAGGCCATAACACAGCAATTTTAAAAACAACAAATCTATACAATGTGTACAATATGTCATATTGTTTCGTGAAATATTTAAAAGAAAAGAAATTAAAATATGATGAACCTAATAATTGTTTTTCTTATGCCGTGTTGATTTCCTTAACATTTAAGTTTGTTAGGCCATGGTAGTTTTATTCATCGAAACGCTTCATTATTATTCTGTCCAGAAACAATTAAATAATTTGCTGTTGGGACCGGCCCTAAGAGTTCTTGGAAATCAAGTGCTTATATTAACAACTTTAAACATTTTAAACAGACAGTAATATAATTGTATTATATTTCGTTGAGTAGCGCAGAGCGCTAAGTCTTTTTATTGTTTTAATTATACAATACCTAATAATTTTGATAAGTAATAGGTTAATCAACTAAATTACTATCAGTATAATCATAGGCATAGTTAGGGGCTGGGCATCCCGGAATTTATAATATAATACATAATATTTTATTATTTGATATAAACGTGATAGTATTATGATATTTTTATTTTAAAATTAATTTAGAATCGAATACATTAATGTTATAGATCTTTTAACTATTATTAATTAATTTGAGGATAACTTGGACTGATGTATAATTATAGTATACTCTATATCTAAAGATATGAAATTTACCTGTAAAAATATTTCTGTAAATTTATATAAAGGTCGAGAAAATTGGTAAATTGCAGGGCTTGCAAACGTTATGATTATAACGTTATATTTGACAAAAAACGATTGAAATTTGTAAACTTTATTATAAAAACCGATAATCAAAAATAATTCAATTCCGCAAAACAAAACATAACGATAAACAGAATATAATATTATATATCATTAAACAAAACATAACGCAAAACGTAATTTATAAAATATCATTGATCACTTGAAGGAAAAATAACACAAAACGATATAATTAAAAATCCATTTATTTAAAAGGTCTATTGGTTTCGTAGAAACATTTATTTCATACAAACAATTTAAGAATTGATTATGTTATATTCCGTATCCGGGCCATTACCTAATAGGTACCTACCCTCATTAGTTAATGTTTTTAAACTTAATAGGTATTAACACTATTTTATATAACAAGAAACGCAAAACTTGTATAACGTTTTATTTCTGAATAACAATAGACGCAAAACTTAGATAACTTTTTAATTCTGAATAACGATAAACGCACAAGTGGAATAACATTTTAATTCTAAAAACAATGTGTAACTTTTTAATAGTAAATAACTATTTTTTTTCAAATGCAATCCATGGTAATTGTTGGAATAATTTGTTTGTGTATCTACTTACCTATTACTGAAATTAGAAATGTTCATGCCGACATTAATTAATAGTTATAGTTTACATCAGTAGTGATAACATTTATAACCATTACAAAGGTTTTAAACAAATTAATAAGTAAATATAAAATATATAAAATATAATGTAATATAAATGTAAAATAAAAGATGGGAAAGTGGGTATTGCTCTCCTGTACATAGGTGTCATGTGTTTCAGTGCAATAAAAGTCTTAAATTTGAATTCAAACATATAAAATAATTGTAAATGAGAAATGATTCTGAGCTATTGAGTGAATACTATATTTTAATATATTATTAAGTATATTTTATGATATTATTATTTATTATGATTAAAATAGTTTATTTTACTATAAGACATTACTACTACAGTAGGTTAAACTAAATTTTACCAAAAATTGCATTTGCAAAATGTATTGTGTGTATAAAAAATAGTAATATATTTTAAAATTTTCAAGTAGGTAGTGGAGAGCGAGTTAGTTGTTACACTTTTGACGTATCGAATTTTTACAATTTTTTTTTTTACTATAATATGGTCATAATTTTTGTAATACGATTTTATAAAGTAACTTCCTAGCCCCTAAGTACCGTTTTATGATAATAAAATGAAACAAAATTAATTTGTATTACTAAAAAACCCGGGTCAAGTCACTAAGTCAAAATGTAACAACCTGCCCCAGGATGGTGTAAATTGTTATAGTCCGGGAGCATATTGTTAAAGTCTACATTTTGAATTATTATTATACAAAATAAATAATAAATTAACAGTAACTATATAATCGTATTTCATAATAATAAGTACCTATAGATACCTCGGGTATAAAACAAAATAAATATAAACAATTCTTCATTTTATTTCAAAAACTCTTAATGCACAATATTTAATAAAATAATAATTAACTTTATTTCATTCATAAGTCTTATTTATGCAGGCTTATTCTATACAAATAAATATAGATGCTTAATTTAAAAACAAGGAATAGTAATAAATAATAAGTAAACATTTTCTTCTTTTTATAACAAAAACATACATTAACAACATGTTGCCCCTGGTGAAATGTAACAACACATGCCTCTTATCGTTTTTTTTTCTAAGAGAATTGATTTATTGGAAATGGAATTAATGGAAATGAATTCTATAGTTAGAATATGGTGTAGTACTATATAATGAACAATTAATATTAAGTGACAAAATAATCTTAACTAAAGTTAATAAGTTGTAATTAAAAACACAAATCCTGGACAAAAATCTACTTTTGAAAACAAAAAACAGAGAATTGTCGTTAAGTCTAAACACTGATAATATAATACTTATACTCGATATTATCACAAAACACGTTCAATTAATGATAATAGAATTTGTTCGTTCAATCTCCACAGTCTTAGAATAATTGGAAGTACAAAATATCTTTACTATAACAATTTATCTGTGGAACAGCTAATTCACCTCTCTCCAACCCACAAATAATACATTAATATACAATAAGTAGTTAGTCGTTAGTCTTCTTTTAATTATCTAAATTCTTATAAATTTGATCTTAAAATGTCCATAAAAATAACTGTATTTATATATTTTTTTAAATTTTTATGCTGCAGTATAAACTATTTATTAGGAAGCTGGTATTAAATTGTCAATCCTTAGCTATAAATTTGAACATTCTATACATTTTTGACTACAAAATAATTTGTAAGCTTTTGAGATTTTGATGAATTTTGTCATCATTTTAACTTTAAATAATTATAAAACAAAGACCATGACAATGTATACTAAATATTTCTTAACTAATATTTTAAAAACTTATAAGGAACCTTGTTATACATTTTCAAGCGTTTTGGCCCAGTGAAATTTAAACATTTTTTTTCATTATTTACCAAAAAAAAAAAAAAAATGAAAATGTCTATAATTTGCTCAAAAAGTGTCAAAATATTTTGAAAATGTTAACATGTAAAAGAAACGATAATATAAACATTTGGTAATACTGTCAAGTATCTACTGTTATTATAGTATCCACTGATAAAGTCAATAAACAAATCATTACTCAACTTGTAGCAACGAGAAAAAGAAAAAAACTTGGTAGTACGTATTAATATAGTACTATACAAACAGTGATGTTATTCTGTTGCGCCTTGAATAACTAACAATACTTCTTCATATACATACATGCATTGCATGCCTTAAGGGGATCGCAGCACTCGTATTTTTCATACGTTTATGCCAATAAGCTGTCTAATAAATTACACATACTTCGGAATGTCCGATTTTAATATTTTATACATGTATGAACTCTTTGACAAAATATCTAGGCTCTTTAGAAAGTTGATTTTCAATTTTCAATTTTAAAACAGGGACTAAAATTGTGTGTAGTAGGTACGAAATACGAAATCAAAAAGTGTGTAAATGGCCTGTAACGACTAGTAACTTCTTTTACAGTTTTTTCTTCATTAATTGAAAAATTATTTGTTGTTAAATTGGGAAATAGATAGTTAAGAAGTTTAAATATCACAAATAATTATTATTATTTTGAGTCGTTTTTACAAGTTTTACTTATATACAATGTTGTAAAAAAAACGTTTTAAAAGTATTTAAGTAATTACTCAAATACTCTTAAAATAAAGTATTTAAATACCACCCAAATAATCTTCAAATACAAAAAAAATTATTTTTACTTTCTAGTTCCGAAATAATTTATTATAATCTAAAATGTATTTATTGCATTTTAAAAACATGACTTGTTCAATAGGTAATCAAAATTCTGATCATTCTGAACTTTTCTCTACTAAATTATATATTAGTTTAAAGCTATATGTATTTGGATATCTCATACCGTCGTAGACGATAAACGATACCTAATGATAATTAATGATAACAATTTTCTTAACAAATAGATAGAAGGTACTAATAATTACCTAGTAATAATATTTTAGTATAATTAAATAATTATTAAGTACAAACTATAAAGTATAATAGCCAATAAGCAGAAGCATTTTACATATTAGTATATATTTTGTTATAGACTTTAAGCCAATAGTGATACCGACTACAGATGTATCTTTTCGATCTTGGTCGAAACTCCTGGAGAAAATAAAACATTTAATCGACGAAAACCAAATTGTCTGTAAGGCAAAAATGATAAACATATAATATTATACTGTTATAATGTTAGCAAAACCACGACGGCAAGGTATTTTTATTTAACAAGAATAATTATAATAAGAAACAAATTAAGAATTAAAAGAATAAAAAAAGTATTTAAAATACCATTCAAATACTTCAAAATAAAAAGTAGTAGGTATTTAAAAAAGTATTTGAATACTTTTACTAAAATACTTGTACTCAAACACTTAACAACACTGCTTATAATATT